CTCCCAGCCTCCAGGTCATGGTTCAGAAGGGTTTAACGGCACAGTCCAGAGAGGCTTCCTGATAAAAACTTGTCAAACATGTGCATGGTAACAGTCTGATGCCTGTTTCATCTTAGCACATCAGTGTGTGTTGTCACAGAGCTGCAGGGACTTGGCTTTGACCCATGTCTCTTTGAGAGGCCAGAGGGTAGATATGTAGCCTGAGGCCCACTTTCTGTGATACCTGTTATCTCCTTGGCAGCAAGAGGTGTGGGGTCAGCCCAGGAGATCTAGGCAGGGTGGACTGCATGGGGTGGCCCCAAATAGGACTTAGCTATCTGGATATGAGTCTTTGTGCATCCCGGCCAGGGATTCTAGGCAGGGGTCACCAACAGTGGCCAGAAAGATTGACTCCAGTTTGGCGGGTCCTCCAGTCCCACCACCTCCCAAGATTTGGCATCTGTGTGTCATATACTATGCCCACAGACCTATCGCCCTCCCATTCTCACTCCCTGCCAGCAGGGCCAGACCTCTTTCATTCTGGAATCTCACTAATCCTGCCAGTAGAGGAGTCTTGCTGAGCCCAGTCCCAAAGACCCTTAGATGCAGGTCCTCTGTGCCAGGTCTTCTGGTCTCCTACAGGCCTCCAAGCCACCGTTCACCCGTCCTGCACCCATGCCTTCTGCTCTGCTCTGGTACACACTCCGGCCTCACCCACATCTTACCTTCCCTTAGAATGGCATCACGAGGGTGCCATTCTCAGTCTGCACAGCTGTGAAATGCAGATAAACCCCCACTCTGATAGTTCTTGGGAGCCCATGGGATTCAGGGGCAAAGGCAACTGTCAAACAGCAAGTGGGTACTCAAGTCATACCCAACCTTTTCTGCGTCTTGGACTGAGGCTCCTGGAGCTCTCATGACCCCTTGAGCTGGGTCTGATGTCCTGTGCCATCTCCCCACCAGTCTCCTCCCCATTTCATTGAGCTCTTTCTCACCTGTGTGCTTGGGCCCTGCTATGCCTCACTTCCTCTACCCTTCTCAAACCCACCTCCCAGTACCTAGGATTGGTCAGTGGCCCACACTCCGGTCTTACGGGAACGGTAATAACCATGATTACCTGCTTTCCCCCATGTCTTGGGCCTTACATTGCCCTCCCCTAAACTTCTGTGGTCATGTTGAGCCTTGTCCTGTCAGGCTAGTCCTTCTCTTGATCCTGAACAGGCTGAGTGTAAAAGTGCCCTTTGAGCTTTTTGGGGCAAGACGGTGGTGTGAACATACGCATCTCACTTGGTTCAGAAACCCACCGAAGCTACAGAGACGAAAGTGTTTAAAAATATGAACCCACAAGAATGAGGATGGTGAAGCGGGTCCACAGCAATGGCATTTTTGGAACTGGAAGCAGATGCAGATGTGGGATCTAGCTCTGATTTAGAGAAAGCCAAATATTGATTTGGCACTGGGGGAAGTGGATAGAGGTCCCACCAGGCTTATACTGCAGAACTCCAGAAAGCATGCAAACCAGCAGCCCCCTGGGAGAGGAGACTTAAAACAAAGCTGACTTGGGGAGAGCTACCAGAGCTATTAGAGCACCAGCTCTTGCCACAGAGTGGATGGTGGAAGAGTCATTTCCGGGGAATCCTTACAGCTCCAGAGAAACGATCTAAGCCCTCCCCCCGCGCACGCGCACACACACAAAACAGCTCAGTCTGATGACATGCAGAGGAGTTGACAGGCCCCAGCCATGCAGATGCTCAGAGCTTTCAATCAGTGTAGGACCACTGCTCTTCATTGAGTGCTGGCAGCTAGGCATTACTAGGTATCACAAGAAATCAAAGCAGGCATGTGCAATTTAGGACTGAATGAGCCATGGTTCCGCTGCTTGATCTCTGGAAGCGAAGCACCCCTTCCCACAGTGTGATGCTTGGAAGATCGCGGTTACTGGTTCCGGTACCCCACGTAGAAGGTCGGCAGCGTCCCACAAGGTGGACAAAAGCCTCATCCCTCACTTTGCAGCACTGACATCTGAGAACCTGTCAGACTCCGAGGGTATAAATCACGGGACAGTTTCCTGGTGGGTGCGTGAGTGCCCACCCTGGTCCTCGTTCGCGATGTCCGCAGGGCGCTCAGCGGAGGTCGAACGAAGGACCCAGCACCGTCCTCGCCGGAATCCTTCCCGGGGTTGTCGGAGAAAGTCCACACATTAGGCCGGACTTGCGGGTCCGGACCCTGCTTCCTCCTGGGACCACCTGCAGGCGAGTCTCCGCCGACCCACACTGCGCAGGCCGTCACTTCCGGCCTCGCGGGAGGACCGGGCGACGCTCTGGCCGTTGCCTTGGAAACAGAGGGAGGCGGGCGGATGTCCTCTAGCGGTGACCAAGAGGCCTGCTCAGCGACGAGAAGGAAGCCTCCAGAGGAGCGCGGGGGAGGGGCCTGGGTGGGGCGCTAGCTCTGAATGGCCGTCAGGTCGCGCTCCTCCCCCGTCACCTCACCTGCCAATAGGCGCCGGGCCCACTGTGCGCATGCGCAGGATTCTAACATACCGTCCGTCACGGCCGTCGGTGAGTCTAGGGCTCGGCTGCAAAGGAAGAGCGGTCGCCAGTGAGGGGAGGGAGCCCCCGAACTCTGCGACTCTTCAGAGGACCGGAGCTCTTCTCAGTCGTGAGAGGCCTTTGGAAATGAGCGTCCGCTGGCGGAGGCCGCGCCCGTCCTTGCGTGCTGAGTCTCACGGGAAACGTAGTCCGAAGGGAGGGGGCGGGTCCTGCCGCGCGGGCGCGTGATTGGCCAGGGCGCAGTCGCCATGGCAACGCGCGGAGGGGCGGGCCGGCGGGGCCCCCTCCCCGGAGGGGCTTCCGGGCGCCCGCGCCGCGCCGCGGCTGAGGTGAGCGCGGGCTCGGCTGGGCGGGGCGCGGCTCTTTCCTTCCCCTGGGGACCCGGCCGCCCGGGGCTCCCCGCTCTCCGGAGAGCCCGCCTCCCCCCCGACGCGCCCCGCGCGCTCCCCCTCCCGGCCCCGGCCCGGCCCCCCCCGGCCCCAGCCCGGCCCCCCCCCCCCGCCCCAGCCCGGCCCCTCCCGCCCCAGCCCGGCGTTCCCTGTCCCGCCTCCCCCCCGACGCGCCCCGCGCGCTCCAGCTCCTGGCCTCGGCCCGGCCCCCCCCGCCCCAGCCCGGCGTTCCCTGTCCCCTGGCGAGCCCGCCTCTGTCCCCTCCCGCTTGGGAGACGGACTCCGGGGGCTCAGGCCGGGTCTAGCTGGTCTGACGGGCCCCGCAGGTGGCCTTGCTCCCTGCCAGACCCTCCTGACGGTCGGGGCCCAGCGCCCGCAACTCGTGGCTTTGTTCTGTTTCGTTTCGCTTTTCACGTGCTTGGTTCGGGCGGTGTGCGTCGGTCGCAGCTCGCGCTGCTCGGCGAGCACGGCGTCTTGGAGTCCACACAGCCCCTTCCTCGGCCCATGGCTCGGGCGTGCGTCCTGCTTCTAGCCGGCCCCGCGGGGGCCCACTTGAGTCAGCGTGTCCCGACGTCCTGGAGATCGTGGGGACGCGCACCCCGCCGTAGCCCAGCATGGCCCCGTGTCCCGCTGCTGCCTCTTCCCACCTTCGCTGCCCCGGCTCACCAGGGGTGATGGCCTCACCCAGTCCCTGGCCGCCTGTCCCTCGGCCTCCGCCTGTCACTTTCCCTGGCTCATGAGTCAGACCCTGGAAGCCCGCGATGACTCCTTTTGCCTACCTCTTCATCACCCCCTGCAGTCTCGCGGAAGCTCCACTGGACAACTTGCCTCCCAAGCGTCCGTCCACAAGGCTTCCTCCGGCCCACAGTTACTGTCAGCGGCCAGCTCCTGTGACACCTCCACGAAGCGTTCCCAGCCTCAGGCATCCCTGGGCCAGGGTCCTCCCTCAACCAGCCTCAGCCCCCCGGGCTGGGCCTGTCTGCCCGCACCCTGACGCCTCCTTTCCTGCAGGTCCCTCTTGTTGGCTGCAAGAAGACACCCGGTACAACAATGCCATCCCCACTGGCCCCCCCACGCCTGCCCTCTGTGGACCCCGTGGCTATCCTGGACCAGCCTGAGGCAGCGCGCCTGCGCTTCCGGGGATTCTGCTACCAGGAGGTGGCAGGTCCCCGTGAGGCCCTGGCCCGGCTCCGGGAGCTGTGCCGCCAGTGGCTGCGGCCCGAGGCGCACTCCAAGGAGCAGATGCTGGAGCTGCTGGTGCTGGAGCAGTTCCTGGGCACGCTGCCTCCCGAGATTCAGGCCTGGGTGCGGGCCCAGCGGCCCGGCAGCCCTGAGGAGGCCGTAGCCCTGGTCGAGGGCCTGCAGCATGACCCTGGGCAGCTGCTGGGCTGGGTGAGTGTGGCCAACGTTGACTTCTTGGAGGGTCAGGAGCCAAACTGGAGCCCCTATGACTTTCCTCTTCCCTTCAGATCACAGCCCATGTCCTGAAGCAAGTGGTGCTCCCGGCAGCACAGAAGACGGAGGAGTCTTTGGGGAGCTCCCACCCTTCAGGGACAGTGGAGCTCCTCAGGGCAACCTCTGCGGAGGCCTCACAGGACACCCCCGTGGAGAAGTCTGCCCAGCTTAGCTGCAGTGTGAAGGAGGAGCCAGATGCTGATGGGCAGGAGATGGGTGAGAGTGGGAGCCACACAAGGTCTGGGGGGCTCCCGGAGGGAATGTGAATGTCCCCAGACTCAGGAAGGACTGCAGACTGCAGAGCTGGGTCCGCAGGAGGCAGGAGGAAAGGACTGGTGGGCTGCCTGCCGTGTGACTGGCACACACAGTAGCCTCCTGCCTCCTGGCAGAGGAAGGCCAAGGCTGCGGCACCAATACCAGCTCACCTGCCATGGCTCACAGGAGCGGCACCTGACCCTCATCTGCCTCATTTCCTAGCACCTTCCAACCCCCCAGATCCAGCCCAGTCCCACGAGGGGCGCCCTGGACACCGGGAACCAGCCTCCATGTCCTTCCACCCACCCAGGATTCAGGTAAGCAGCCCCAGGAGGGAGGTACAGGCACCCAGTAGGAGGAGTGTGTCCTTGGTGGCCACTCTGCTCTGTCAGTTTTTCAGGCTTCTTGGCTAGCAGCTTTTGTGCTTTTTGCTGCCCAGAAATGGAGTTGGTGTCAGGCTCCTCCTGCAGATCCTGTAGGACAGGGACAAGCTGGTGGTCTCTCTAAAATTGGGAGAAATTTGGGCCTCAGGCCATGCAATCTGGTTTGGAGTGAGTGGGCCTGGTAGGGGTTGGCTTCCTCATTTACAGAGAAATTGGGGATTTTGAAGCACTCAGCAGTCTTAAACGGGTGCTTGGGGATTTGAACTCTCACGTGCATGTGCGGAGGGGTCAAGATGATGAACCTTGGCAAGAAAGCCTGAGCACCACACAACCGTCTGGCCTCCCTAGCCCACCAGAGATCAGGATGGAGATAGCTAAGCCACAACCTGCAGCCTCCTCTTTCCTGGGGCTTTCCTCAAAGCCCAGCCAGTCCTGGATTGTGGCCAGCGAGGCATGGAGGCTCCACTGAGGCCCCTGCTACCTGGAGTGCTTGGTTCCTGAGTGTGGACAGCGGGACTCCTGTCCCTCTCCCAGCAATTTTTCTCCTAAGCCACTCCACTGGGGAGCGTTCCCGGTGGAAGAGCTGGTTGAGATGTGCTTGGAGGCTAAAAAATTCTTCCGGGCTCTCTCCACAGTCTGATGGCACAGTGGGAAACAGCTGGGTGGGCAGGCCACAGCCTCCAAAGCCACCTGATCTCCAGCCAACAGCATTCCAGCTGTGGCTTCACGTGGCTGTCTCCTCCCTGTGCCTGGATCTCCAGTGGTTTGTCTGTCAGGATTATTTTTCCCACCCCAGCAAAGCCCCAGATGATGGGATTTTGGGAGGCAAGGAGAGCAGAAGCCAGGGACAGGGAGTGCATCCCCTGGTAAAGTCCACAAGGGTCCTGCTTCGACCACCAGAGCTCACCCTCTGGCAACAGGCAGGAGCCAGCCCACCGCCCCACCCACACACATCATCTGAACCCTGAGATGCTTGGCTGCACCTCCTAATGTGAGTTCTCCTGCCCTCAACCTTCCCACAGCCAGGTCCCCACATCTAGGAATGCTGATGGCCTTCAGCGGCTCCCGCAAGGTGGATCTCTGTTACTTTTGTAACCAGAGGCTTGGGGAGAGGTGGCTGGATCCCCTTGGGTCCGCAGGCCTTTTGCTCTCAATGCAGCACACTGTTCAAGGCAAGGAGGTGGGGACAGTCATACCGGGCCCCGCCCCCCCCCCACGCTTCCCCCAGAACCCATCAAGGGGTTCTCAGCTCCAGTCTGTCTGGCTAGACTATGGGAGTGGGGCTTCTGAGGGGGACAGGTGCTAACAGCATCCCCCCAGTGAGCTGGAAGACAGCTCCTCTCTGTCCTGTTTCCCAACCTTCACACACCCTTTTCATCTTCATCTTTATCAAGCAAAAGAGCCTTAGGTAATCTGCCTGCTTCCTCAAGTAATTAGTAAGGTTGTGACCGGGAGACACAGGCAGGGTAGGTCACTGCAGGGCAGGGCAGAGGATGGGGGGTGGACAGGCACCAAGGGTGATGGGCCACATCCCCACAGGAGGAATGGGGGCTACTGGACCCGTCACAGAAGGAACTGTACTGGGACGCAATGCTGGAGAAGTATGGCACGGTGGTCTCCCTGGGTGAGGACCAGCCATGACCCCTCCTTTGGTGTCTGCATACCACTGGCTGTAGGGCTCACTGCCCGGCCCTTCCCTGTGCACGTCTCCCAGTGCTTACCCAAGTTCGCGCTCGTTACCTGGGGGCACCGTGTCACCTACCAGGGCCCCCACCCTGCCCCTAGTATGCAAGAGCCCCTCACCTGCCCCCATGCCAGGACCGCTACCTGACTGTCCCTCACCCCAGCAGGGATACCAGCCCCCCCGCCGGAGGCACGGGCTGAGTCGGGGCCGGGGGCCATGTGTACAGGGACAGAGGGTAGAAGAAACCTCCACCCGGGTGAGTGCTTCTCCATGCGACCTGAACCACCTGTTCTCTGGTGGGGTGGGGGCTTATTCGCCCCCACACACCTGGCGGGAGAGGGTGGGCCAATGTCAAGGGCACTGGGCTATCTGGGACTGCCACCTCTCCTTCCCCCAGGAGAGGAGAGGGAGAGTCACTGCGAGGGTCCGCCCCACTGCCCAGAGGCCCAGCCACCCCGGGGCCCGGGGTCTGTCACCTGGGAGGGCCCGTCTGGGGCCCCTGTGTCTGCCAGGGCAATGCTGGGAACAGAGCTGGAGCCTGGTGCCCCGAGGAGGAAGCCTTACACCTGTGAGCTGTGTGGCCGAGGATTTGACTGGAAATCAGTCTTTGTCATCCACCACCGGACGCATGCAGATGGGCAGGGTACACGGGCCCCGGCACTGGCCGTCGGGGGTGCTCAGAAGCTGCCACAGGGTTCCCAGGAGCCAGGCACACCCCGGTACCCCCGGCGCGTGCTCCCAGGGCCCCGGAACTATGCGTGTGAGGAGTGTGGGCGCAGCTTTAGCTGGAAGTCGCAGCTGGTCATCCACCGCAAGAGCCATGCGGGTCAGCGGCGCCACTTCTGTGGAGACTGCGGCCGTGGCTTCGACTGGAAGTCCCAGCTGGTTATCCACAGGAAGAGCCACCGGCCTGAAGCCCCGTGAGTGGCTCGAGAAGGCGGCCTCATCTTGGGGGCCTTGGAGCCTCCAGGGCCTGGACACAGTTCCCGGGGCTCTGGTTCCAGCCGTCCCAGGGCTGCTCAGCCTCTGTGAATCAGAGTTTCCAGGAGGGTCCCCTGCCCCATTTCAGTCTCCCCAAAACAGCCACCTGGGTGTAAGTAAAAGAAGCTGCCTGGTGGGGCCTGGCTTGGAACCCGCGGCCTAAGCCTGGTGACTTCCAAGCTCTGAGATCCCCAGCTGTGACCTGATGCAGGCTGACAGGCTAAGGACTCTCGCTACCCCTGGGACCTTAGTGGCCCCAGGTGGATGCTCAGAAACTGCCCCTTTCCACCCTTCCTGAAGCTTCTGGGCCTGATGTCTTGGTGTGGAAGGTGCTGAAAGCTCAGAAGAGCATGCTTTGCTTCTGTTTGCAGGCGGATGGAAAACTTAACGACCCTCCACATTTGAGATTTTTAAAAATTCCACTTTTATAATGGGAAGTTTCTGCATAGGAATTCTGATCTCTGCTTTCTGCTGGTCAGAACATCAGCAGTGCCACTCCTGCCTGGCAGCTGGACCCACAAGAAGGGCCAGCAGTCCTGGCCTCCTGGCCGCCTTTGTTCCTCGGCCACCATGTCATTCCTTGGACTCCTTGGCCTTTGAGCTCTTGAGTCTCAGCTTGAGTGGACCCTAAGGGGACTTCCTTCGCAAGTATGGATGAAAAAGGGTGGCCACTGAGGAAGGGTACACAAACGGATGTCACTGGGGCCATGTGATTTAAAAGTAGTTTGTGATCACTTGGACTAATTTGAAATATACAAGAGAGCACAGGTAAGGGGAATGACCCTGAGTTCCACTGTCTCGTGTCAGTGACTCTTCCAGGAGTCACACGTGGGGGCGTTTTATAAATCTTGTGGAGCTACTGTATATATCATGCTCTTCTCACTCATTTCCCGGTTATTAAAAATGTATTTTAATGCCTGGGTAAAAATTCCGTTTTCCATCCAGCAGTGTCATTTCCTACCAAGCCCAGATAGTTCATTGTTCACCCCCATGGTACCCAGTGCATCACCAGTGATGCACACTCCCAAGCATACCCTTGGGATGCAACTCTGCTTATTTCCCTTAGAGTAAGTCTCCCAAAGTAGGATTGTTGCATCTACAGAGCATGGGACTTTTGTTTCCCTTTTGCCTTAAAACAACACTGGGTTCCTTGAGCCAATTCCAAGTCTTCCCCTCCCCCCACAACACCAAGCAGTTCTCCAACAGAAAATATTTTTTAGGGACGCCTGGGTGGCTCAGCTGGTTAAGCGTCTGCCTTCGGCTCAAGTCACAATCCCAGGGTCCTGGGATCGAGCCCCACATCGGGCTCCCTGCTCACCCCATCAGGCTCCCTCCTCTGCCTGTCTCCCTGCTCATGCTCTCTCTCTCTTCCTCTCTCTTTCTCTGTCTCAAATAAAATAAATAAAATCCTTAAAAAAAAAAAAAAGTTGAAGCATAAGAAAGATTTGATGCACCACTGCAGGCTTTGAAGACAGAGGGAGTCACACTGTGGCCTCTGGAAGGTAAGAACAACCCCTTGCTAACAGCCAGCAAAGAAACAGAGACCTCAGTCTTACAACCACAAAGTATTGCAATCTGCCAACAACTTGAAAGGGCTTGGAAGCAGTTAATTCCCAGGTCTTCCAGATAAGAGCCTAGCCCAGCCAACGTCTTGATTTCAGCTTTGTGATACTATGTGCGGACAACCCAATGTCTCCCAGATGTCTGACCTGCAGAACGGTGAGCTAATAAATTGATGTTTTAAGCCACTAAGTTTGTGGCAATTTGTTAAACAGCATAGAAAACTCAATACAACCATGTATTATTAATGGATTTAGTACTGCTCATGGCCAAAAATATAAAACTGATCTGCATCCAGTGATGAATTGGGAGTGTGGAATAAAATGGTGATAGTGTTTTTCAATAAAATTTTTAGAAGTAAGAAATGAGGGGCACCTGGATGGCTCAGTCGTTAAGCGTCTGCCTTCGGCTCAGGTCATGGTCCCAGGGTCCTGGGATCGAGCCCCGCATCGGGCTCCCTGCTCAGCGGGAAGCCTGCTTCTCCCTCTCCCACTCCCCCTGCTTGTGTTCCCTCTCTCGCTGTGTCTCTCTCTAGCAAATAAATAAAAAATTTAAAAAAATAAATGAAGCAAATAATGACTTTGGAAAACCTTGGCAGTATCTGCCACAGCTAAATCTATGTATACTCTTACTCAGCATTTCCACTCCTGGGCATGCACCCAGCAAAAATGAATGCTTGTTTCAGCTCAGGTCATGATCTCAGGGTTGTGAGATTGAGCCCCACGGTCAGGCTCTGCGCTCAGCACAGTCAGCTTGTCCCTCTCCCTCTGCTCTTCCTGCAGCTCCCTCCATCACTCTGTCTCTCTCTCGTTCAAATAAATAAGATCTTAAGAAATGAATGCTTTTGAGCGCCAGAAGACATGTACAGAAGCATTTAGAGCAACTATCTATAAAAGTGAAAAAATCAGAAAACAGCCCAAGCCCACTGCAGTTACCAATGTATTGCCTCTCCGCTCCATGTCATTACCCGTCTGCATTAATGGGCTGGACCTTGTAGTCGCTTCTCCTTTGCAGTCAACATATTAAGCTTTGTCAGGAGAGGGCACTGGAGGGAAACTACAGGGTGCCATCCTGTTTCTCTTCTACCGGCTACCACAGCAGTGCATGTGGAAGACTCTGCCCAAAGTAGGCATTCTTTTTGGCTGGCTCAACCTAGTAACCACCTCACCAGGGTACCCTCAGATGTGGATACCATGTACCCCAAGGTACCCTGCTGGCAAGCAGCTTCCCAATGTCTCTTGCAACAGATACTGCATGCTGTAGGCCTCGGACCTGCAGGCGCACCTTAACTCCCTCTGTGTACCTCCCTATTGCCTCAGCCCACCGCCACACCAAGGTGTTTCCTGCTGGGCTTGGGCAACCCAGAGAATTTCTCGGCCACCCAGTATGCTGCAAACACCCGTTCCCCAACAAAGTCTGAACCCCAACCTTGAGAGAGCTCCCACTTGAAGGTTTATTCTTACTTTGGGCACTCTCTCAGCCCTAGGATTTTAAAAGAGTTACTGCCCTATTATAGTTAATAAATTTTATTTATTTATTTTTAAGATTTTATTCGTCAGAGAGGGAGAGAGCACAAGCAGGGGGAGCGGCAGGCAGAGGGAGAAGGAGGCTCCCCGCTGAGCAGGGAGCCCGATGTGGGACTCGATTCCAGGACCCTGGGATCGTGACCTGAGCCAAAGGCAGCCGCTTAACCAACTGAGCCACCCAGGCGTCCCTATAGTCAATAACTTTTTTAAGAAGATTTTTTTCTAGGGGATGCATTGCTGTCTCTGTCAAAAAAAAATTTTTTAAAAAATGATTTATTTCTAAATCTATCTGCTGAGCACGGAGTCAGATGTGGGGCTCCATCTCACAACCCTGAGACCATGACCTGAGCTAAAATCAAGAGTCAGATGCTCAACCGTCTGAGCCACCCAGGCACCCCTATAGTTAATAACTTCTTATATCAAATTTACCCTGTTCAAAATACTGTACGGCGTCTGCTTCCTGACTGGGCACTTACTGATACACCCACCAACAGCGGTGTGGATAATTACACTGGCTGTGCATGCAGTGAAATACTCTGCACACAGCAATGACCAAGAGCAAGTGATTGCTACACGTAATAGTGTTGAATTTTAGGCACAAATGGAAGGGAGGGACAGAGCTTGGCCTCGCCCAGCAGTGTGGGGTTCTAAAGCCTCTCCAGCTTCACTTCCCAGTACAGGGTCCTCTGGGCAAGCTCCAACTGCCCCCACTTCTTCCTGGTTAAGGCCATGACCATGTCCTCAAAGGTCATAGGTCCTTAAGACAGGGACACGCCTGTCCAGCCAGGCCTAGATCATCTCTCCATCCTTGCTTTGAACAGATTCAGGGGAGGGGGCAGAACAGGCAGGATCCCATTAGTGCCCAGGGTTAAGGGGGACCCAGGCCCAAACCCAGAGTCACTAGAAGAGTGGGCACACATTCCCAAGAAGTTCCATCTCCACCCACAAGACTGCTGTTCATCCCTCATACCTGTTTGGCTCTCCCTGCCTTAAGGACATGCCCTTGCCTCCCCTCCACTTTGGCCAGCCCTTACACCACAGTCACGTCACCCTCAGCTCCTGATTCCCATGGCTAACTGCCCCTTGGGTCCCACCCAGAAGTCTCCGGACAGCTTAGACTTCATGGGCTCAATGCCACCTACCCCTCCAGCCACTTCCCATATCACTCAGTGGTAACTCCATCCCTCTAGGTGCGCAGAGCGGAAACCAAGGGGGCCCCCGTGATCTTCATCTGGGGTTCACCATCTGGCCACCCCTCACTCTTCCACTGCTACCATCTTTGTTCTTCTCGTCATAGCTCTAGCCTCTCAACTGAACTGGCTTCCCCCCACCACGTCCTCCCCTCCATGCTCTGTTTGCCCCACACAGTTAAAGGGATCTTGCTAAAGCTTTAGTCACCACTCCAGATACATACACCAAAGAATTGAAAACAGTTACTCGAAACAAGTACATGTACAAGAATGGTCATACCCAAGGGGCACCTGGTGGCTCAGACAGTTGGGCACCTGACTTGATTCGGCTCGGGTCATGATCTCGGGATCAGGTAGTCAAGCCCCACATCGGGCTCCCTGCTCAGTGGGGAATCTGCTTCTCTCCCTCTCCTTCTGCCCCTCCCATGGCAGGAGGGGCCAGGTCTCCTTGTGAGGACAGTGGGCTGGACACACACTGTGCCCTAGATCAGTGGACCCAAACACTCCTCCTTGCGGCATCAGCTTTGTTTTTGACTTTTTTTTTAGAGAGGACGCGCCCATGTGAGGTCAGGGAGGGGCAGAAGGAGAGGGAAAGAGAGTCTTTTTTTTTTTTTTAAGACTTTATTCATTTATTTGACAGAGAGAGACACAGAGAGAGAGGGAACACAGGCAGGGGGAGTGGGAGAGGGAGAAGCAGGCTTCCCGCGGAGCAGGGAGCCCGATGCGGGGCTCGATCCCAGGACCCTGGGACCATGACCTGAGCTGAAGGCAGATGCTTAACGACTGAGCCACCCCGGCGCCCCAGGGAAAGTCTTAAGCAGACTCTGTGCTGAGCACAGAGCCCTATTAATTTTAAAGCCCGTACATTAATTTTAAAGCAAGCTTCACATCATACAATAAACAAATAAACATTGTTTCAGGTCACCTTAAAATAGATAACTTCTAAATTAACAGATGTTCATCCACATAATCCTGTTTACCATCTGGAACCACACCTAGGAAGTCCCACCAACCCATGCCCATCGCCAACTCCAATTCCTCTCAAGTGGGCACCATCTTTTGGGGAATCAAGGGCTTTTTCTGGGGCCTGCACAGGCCGCGGCCTCCTCCCACAATGGCAGATGCCTATGGGTAGACCCCTCCTAGTGGGCCATGGGTGCTCAAGGAGGCAGTTCATTTTCACAGGAGACTTGTGTTTTCCGTGGTCTCGGCGATACTAACGCTATCTGAGCAAGTGTCTGGCCGTGTGTATGTGCTCCATCCGCTTCCCACTCTGTGAAGGCCCCACCCATCCCGTCCTGCCCCTGTAGTAGTCTGCCAGTAGCCCCCTTCTTCCCCAGCACTGGACGCACCCTGGAGCTTTCCCCTCCTACCACATCTGCTATCCCTTCAAATCCGCCCTCTCAAGCTATGATCAGAACTCCCCCTATTGGGGCGCCTGGGTGGCTCAGTCGGTTGAGTGTCTGCCCTCAGCTCGGGTCATGATCCCGGGGTCCTGGGATCGAGCCCCGCGTCGGGCTCCCTGCTCCGTGGGAAGCCTGCTTCTCCCTCTCCCACTCCCCCTGCTTGTGTTCCCTCTCGCTGTGTCTCTCTCTGTCAAATAAATAAATAAAATCTTAAAAAAAAAAAAGAACTTCCCCTACCCTTCCCAGAAGGTCTCCCCACCCCATTCCCTTCCCAGAAGTTTCTGCCTAGTCCACCCTTCCCAGAGGCGCCCCCCCCACACCCTTCCTTAGAAGTCCCTCCCTATGAGCCTCCTGTCATCCAACCTCCCACAGCGAGACCCGGCCCATGGCTCCAACCCATGAGGCTCTGCTTGGCCTCCCTTGGATGGGTGGCGTGTTAGGAAACACAGGAGACACCACCTCAGCCGGGGTCCCACTACAGGGTAGCCAGCAACCATGTCCGTGCGTCCTCAGAGCACCTTCACCAGGGACGAGCACAGTCTAGAGAGAAGAGCCAAAGA